CAGGCTGGCCTCAAACTCACAGCAATCCTCCTGCCTCAGCTACCAGAGTGCTGGGATTACAAGTGTGTACAACCATGCCCAGCAGTTTTAATTACTGTAGTACTAAGACCCATGAGAGCTGTACCAAGCCCAGGCTCTTAAAACAATGCAGCTGTGCACATTTGAATAGGCCCTGCCACAGGTGTTCAGGAGTTTCTCTGAGGCAGAGAATGGAATTGCTGGCTCACAAGGTGTGTCAGTTTTGCAAAATAACACCCAACTGTTTTTCCAGAGTGCTCAAAGCAATTTACACTCCTACCAACTGAGTATCAGTTCCTGTTGCTACATTTGCTCAACATTTGCTATTGTCCGACTCTTAACATTTTGCTGATTGGGTAGGTGAGTGTTAATAGCATCTGTTTTCCTGATTACTAATAAAATTGAGTCTTTTCACATGCCCACTCTTTTCAGATATTTTTACCAGTTTTCCTATTGTGTTGTCTACCTTTTTCTTGGTTGCAGTTCTTCATGTACTTTGGTTACTGTCCTTTAATACTGTGCAACTATCCTTTTCCATTCTGGGTTTGTCTCTTCACTCTATGGTTTAAACAAAATTTCTAAGAGTTAAATTTGTGAACTTTCTCTCAATTCTTCCTACCCTAAGATCACTAAATACGTCTCATATTATCCCAACTTTTGTACTTGTGTTTTAATATCACTCTTGCCTTCCCAGACAGTAATCATTACGTTGAAAATTGTTTCCTTTTTTTACTATAAGCAAGTTATTGCTCAGTGATGCTGTTGAAGGGATGAATTTCAAGTACAGGTAGGAAGTATACAACTAGTATGTTTTCCATACAGCAACTTCAATTTCCAAGAGGAAATACAGGCTCAGAGAGGCTGAGACACATGACCAAGCAACAGCCTTCTAGACACAGAGGTTTAGAAGTTCCAGTCTGGCTACTTCCCAGCAAGTCCATGGACAAATTGGCTACTCTAAGTCCCAAATTTTTTCACCTGGGGGGCGGGGGGGGAAACACAATGGCTTGGCCGGACATGGCACACTTCCGTAATCGCAGCACTTGGGAGGCTGAGGCAGGAGGACTGTCCTGAGTTCATGGCTACCTGAACTATATAGTGAAGGGAGATGTATGTAAGACTGACATTTTCAAAAAAGTTGAAATGGTGTGGGGGACAGAACTCCTGTGTCCAAAAAAAAGGGACTAAAGTGTACTGAATTTAAGTGTAATTCTCTCAACCCCCTCCTACCTGGAATGCCTGTGACTCCTTACCCCTTTCTATGATAACTCCCAGAGGGCAGGAAAGCAGACGATGTGATGAATGGCAAGTGAACTCTTACCTACATCCCGTCCACCCTTTTCCTCTGTCTCTGACTCCCACTGATTTTTCCACCAGGTGCTGCCTAGCCCTGCTGTTGACTCCACTGACATCTGGAACACCACAGCCTACCTGGCTCCCAGGAAGAGATCAACCCACACTCTCCCACATTATTCAGGCACTGGGTCACTCGGAGGCACCTGCCCAAGGCCCACGTGGCTAGGGCGGCTACCCTCTGCGAATGGGAAGCTGCCAGTTTCAGTCTGCACTGATGAGGAGTGCAGCAGACATTGTCGACCCCTGGGGAAAAGACAACTCCCAACCCACTGACTTTTCAAAACACACCACCTAGTCATGAAAGCCGCTGACTTTATTGATCTAAAAACAGTGACTGTTCTGTCCAAAAAAGGGAGCCAAATGGCATCATACAGACCAGAGATGAGGTGGAAGTGAGGGAAAGGGGCTGGGAATCCACTCAAGAAAGCTGGCAATTGTCGCCAAGGAACTGGCAAGGGAAGGATGAGGAAGGGAGATGCATGCAAGAGTGACATTTCCAAAAAAGTTGAAATGGTGTGGGGGAGAGAACTCCCAAAAGACCCTTGAATACACCAGAGGTGAGTATGACAACAGCAATCTTTTCCATTGTAGACGAGAGTGAGGTGCCCCCACTCAGCTGTGAACTCTAGAGACTCGGACCCTGGGGCTGGGGATTGAGGGCTCCCCAGACAGCATCACAAGAAGGCATCACACCACTCCCGGAGGCACCCGAAGCAGTCCCGGGACTGCTTGGCGTTGGCACCACACGTGTCCTTCAGCCACTCCCGGAAGAGGTCTTCATCTTTCTTTAGTACCAGAAATTGGCCAAGGACCACATAGGCCTGCAAAACAGGTAAAGGAAAGGCACTGCTGCTAAACAACTCCGTGGTCTTCAGCCGCACCACCCTGAACGTGCCAGATCTTGTTAGGTTCAGGCCAGATTAGTACTAGGATGGGAGAGCAAGTACTGTTATGGCACTCTAAACACAGAACTCCAGTTTTTATCTTTCAAGGGCAGATTTCACCCCACCCCATCACCACCAAGTGGCCACAGTCACCTCAGATTATCCACCAGGGTCCAACCCCACCCCTCACACACACTCACTTTCCTCATTCTCAATCTGCCCTGAAATAACCTTGTCTCCCCAGGAACACGCAGCCCCCCCACACCTTGTCAAAGCCTCTTTCCTCCAACTTCTTGCCCAGGACTTCACCAATCCCTGCCAGGCTCCCCACTGGCTTTTCCCCCATGGGCTCTGCCACGAAGTCTCGGTGCTTTTGGGACGTTGTCATCTTGATCAGGTTTAACCTGGGAACCCCAAGACAAAGCAGATTAGGACTGAAAACCAGAAAATCCTAAGAACAATCTCATATTAAGAGGAAGACACGCCAGCCACTATGGCAGTCCATTCTCCTCATTTCACAGATGAAAAAACAGCCTGGGAGAGTCTTCCCCACTACTGGAAAAAGAAATCACTTCCTCGCTGACTGGGTTTCGGTATTGCCCCAGGGGAAATACTACCCTGCTCTAACAGGTGGCACACTGAGGACAGTGGGAAGATTCCCAGGGTCAGCAGCCAGGACCCACCCTAAGGCTGTCAATCCCTCGGTGACACTGGCTGGGGAAAAAAAAAAAAAAAAAACTAACACCGCCCAGAACAGCCAGCAGGTGGGATAAGTCAACCACAAGTCTCAGTCCTACTGGTCCCCGCAGACTATTCACCAAGCGAGGCGCAGGCAGCCAGCGCCACACACCTGCCCCAGCAGCTGCACCGCGCCCCGGCAGCCTCACAGGATCCACCCCTCGGTCCAACACACGTCGCCCCGCCCCCTCCACGCGCCTCGGCTCCCACGCGCCGTTCCTGCCCTCAGCGCTGCGGAGCCCTAGGCAAGGGCGCTTCCTCTGTCGCTACAGCGACAGGGCCTCTTTCTTCGCCTTCTCCCTGCGCCTCCTCCCGCTTCTATCCAGGACCCGGCTCCCCGGCTCAAGCTCACCAGCAGCTTTAGCTCCGCTAACGGTTCCTCCCGCTTCCCGGGTGCTCTCGCCGAGACCTCAAGTCACTAGAACTTTCTTCAACTTCCGCTTCCGGGTCGCCTAAAGACCCGCCTTAAAAATTCCAAATTGGGTACTTCTAGCCACTGAAGGCCATAGAGTTGAGGCGACGGGGTTATCAGTGGCGTCCCTAGTGGCTGCCCCTTTCCAGTCCTCCTCGGAAAGCTAGGCTGTTTTATGCATTCTCTCTACCTTGGCAGCATTTACAGTCTGAAGAGAAACTTCTAGAGGTTTCTTTTCTCTGCCGGCCTGCGCCCGGAACTCAAGGAACTAGGCTTGACCGATCTGACAGTGGGAAGAGTTAGAAGGACGGAGACTAGAGAGGAAATGCAGCCGGAAGGCTTCCAAGAATGTACCGGAAGTACAGGTGTCGGCAAGCTCCAATTCGTACCAGCGTCCTCGCAATCCGGCTGGCGAAAACCCAAAACGCCAGATACCCGAGTCCAAACTGGCGCTGCCATTGTGACCACCAGCAAGTTCCATCTCTGGGTTTCGTTGGCTTGCCTTGAAGTGGGTCGTGGACGAGTTGCTCTCAGCTTCCAGCCTGGAAAACGAGGTTGTTCAGGCAGTGCCTGTGGAACGCGAGAGCCAGAGAGAGTAAGTGGGGGTCTTTCTCTGAGGCTCTTTCCTCTGGAGTAGAGGGAGAGGGAGGCAAGGGACAGCAACTAAAGATGATACGTCGGAGATTTCTTTGGAAACATTCCGTCTTAGTGTTACCGGCCCTCTTCTTTGGAGGACCCATATAATATGCCGCAGATTGAGTCTGTGTACCTCCATCTTTGAGTTATTTGTGGTTTGGACCGTCTTGACGGTCGCCGAATTAGTTTTTGTGGCTTGACAGAATGTTGAGGGTTGTGCGGCTTTGCTAGATTTGGGGTGTACAGGTATGTTGAGAAGGTAGTTTTCACACTCCTCAGAGAGGCAGCCAGAATGAGTTCTCTGAGACATGTGTATAGTGATGGTCACCAGTAGGCATGACAACAGGAGTTAATCTCATATGACACATTATGCAGAGTGTTTTTTCATTATTTTATGGCTGTGCTGAGTTAGGTATTTTTTTTTTTCTGGGGCCCAGAGAAGTTGAAGAGTTAGGAAATAAGCTGGATTTGGTGGCCCACGCCTGCCATTCCAGCACACTGGGAGGCTGGGACCGGAAGATCACAAGTTCAGGCCCAGCCTGGGCATCTTACTGACACCCTAATCTCAAAATAAAAAAGGGCAAAATTAATTAATTAATTAATAAAAAGGGCTGAGGAATGTTCCTCAGTTCAGAGGCTTTGGGATCAATTCTCAAAACTGCAAAAAGGTAATAACCAAGGCAGGTTTTGAATCCAGGCAGTGAGATCTTTTGTTTTGTTTTTTGTTTTTTTTTTTTTTTGGTTTTTGTTTTTTCTCCAGTACCGGGAACCGAACTCTCGACCTTGCGCTTGCCAGGCAGGCGCTTTTGCCGCTGAGTTAAATCCCCAGCCCCCAGGCAGTGAGATCTTAAGAGTCCATGATTTTAAACGAGATAGGACACTATATTGTTTCTTAGTAAAAGGCTTCTCCCTGTCTTCAAAGTAGTCCTGGCTTCTGAGGCTGCCATACAAGAAACTCAGGAGGAGCTGACAATTTCCCTGACCACCCTGTGGCTGGACCCAGCATGTCACAGGCCACCAAGAGGAAGCATGTGGTGAAGGAGGTGCTGGGAGAGCACATAGTACCCTCTGACCAGCAGCAAATAGTGAGGGTGAGTGGCCTTGGGCACAAACTGCTCCACCCCCGCAGCCCTTCACTTCTGTTGGATTTTTAGGATGGGGATGGGGTGAAGGATCTGACTGATGAGGCCGACTGAGTCTTGGTCTCTCCTGAATTAGGTACTCAGGACCCCAGGGAACAATCTGCATGAGGTGGAGACGGCCCAAGGGCAGCGCTTCCTGGTGAGCATGCCCACCAAATACCGCAAAAACATCTGGATCAAGAGAGGTGAGAGAGCCAGCCCCGCAGGGGACATAACCATTTCCTGTTGCTATGGCTATCCCGTCCACAACCAGGACTGGCTGTGCCTTTTCTCACCTACAGGGGACTTTCTTATTGTTGACCCCATTGAAGAGGGAGAAAAGGTGAAGGCTGAGATCTCCTTTGTGCTGTGCAAGGACCACGTGCGCTCTCTGCAGAAGGAGGGGTTCTGGTAGGGTGCTTCCCTTCCTCTTTGACACTCTGGCTTTACGGGCAGGGGGGACTGACTTCTCGGCTAGGACATTAGGGGAGGGAAGATCATGGCGTCCCAGGCAGTCACAGCTGGAAGCAGTTGTGCTGAGAGGGTCTCTGTTCACTCTGACCTGGCTCTTGTCGTCACACAGGCCTGAGGCCTTCTCTGAAGTGGCTGAGAAGGACAACAACAACAGGAACAGGTGAGGGGCAAGTCCCAGTCAGGAAAGGCAGAACATAGGGGTCCATGTCCTGGTGCCTCAAGGGAAAAATTGAACCTTCCTTTGTCTCTTTGTAGGGTACCCCATGATAGCTCCTAAATCCATGGTAGAATAAGTGGTTATGAGTATACTCATAAAAGATGTTCTTAGTTAAAATCCTGGCTTTGCCACTTTCAGCTGAGTGACTTTAAGCAAGTTACCTAATAGGTTAAGGCTTGCTTTCCTCATCTGTAAAGTGGGAACTTCATGAACAGTAAAAGAGCTAATTGCCTGTTGAACCTGGAGGCATTGTGTTGGTTAGTGGTAGAGAGTTGTTACAGTTCCTAACTGAAACCAAAGGCTGTAGAAAGGTGGGGGATCTTGCATATTTTCTTAGGCCAAGTTTTCTCACTGTTTGCTCTATGGGTCCCTCCTTTTCACCTTAAAGGGCTGCTGCTTTTCTGAGGGCCTGAGGGTCCCTGACTGCCTGGAAACATGGCTGTCCTTTTCTCAGACTTCTTGGGAGCACATCTGGTTTTCCCATCTCAGGAGGTGTTGGACTAACTCTGTTCCCCTCCGGTTTGCAGACAAACTCAGCCAGAGCTCCCAGCTGAGCCACAGTCATCGGGAGAAGAATCTGGCTCCGAAGATGACTCCGACCTCTTCGTTAACACCAACCGCAGACAATATTTTGAGAGTGAGGAGGAAAGTGAAGAGGAAGAGGCAGCTTGAGACCTGGGATCCTCTTCTCTGCGTGCTCAGGGACTAGTCCCAGGCTCCCCGGGCTTGGACATTCCCAAGGTGCCCTGCAGATCTTTACCCCTGGATGGGGACAAGGCCGGGCCCCTCTCTGAACTGTGCTTCTGACTTCGGCAAATTAAACCCCTGGTGGGTGGTGACTTGTCTGGTGTCTGAGTGGCTCTCTGGGAGAGGGAGACTTGTAAAGTAAAAACCTGCTCCTTGGGGGCTTCAGGCCCAGTGGGCAAAATGGGGAGGAAACAGAGATGGGCAAGTGGTTGGCCCACATGCATTCTCTCTCAGTGGGCACTTAGTGCCAGGCCCTGTGCTATTCTCCGTGCATGTGTTTAACAGCGAGGAGCCACCCCACTTCGTTGCCTGCTTGCACTTAATTCCTAGTACCCACCTGCCTCTAAGCTGCTCAGGACAAATCTCATGGTACCTCATGAACTGCTTCCCTGGCCTTTCTAGTCTTCCTTACCAGGAGTGCCCAGCACCTGCTGTTCTGTGTCCACTGACTGGACCCTATCTCTCTCACCCTTAATCATCTGTCACTTCCGGAATATGTGCTTTGTGATCTGCAGACCTTGTACCTATACCTGATTTTATCTGGAACTGGATTTTTTTCTGACAACACATGTTTCATAATCTTTTAAATAGAGGCTACTGTGGGGTGTGGTGGCCCATGCCTGTACTCCTAGTGCTTGGGAGACTGAGGCAGGAGGATTGCCAAGAGTGCAAAGCCAGCCTGAACTACATTTTCCTGTCTTGGAAACACTAAAAAAAGTAAATAAATAGAGGCTGCTTTTTCACTGTCACCCTTTGTGTCTGAGCACAAAGTAGGTAGGACAGGTGGCCTCCTTGTAGCTATTCAGATCAGCACTCCCTACTGCCTTCTGTAGTTCCTTTTCGTTGTTACTGTTTCTGTTTTTTGGAAATGGGTCTCACTTTTGCTTTGGCTGGCCTCAAATGTCTGAACTCAAGGAGTGCTCTTGCCTCAGTCTTGCAAGTACTCACTAGCCCTCCTGAAAACCATGTCATCCCTCTGCTTGGAAGTTTTTGTCTCTAGACCTGCACTGTCCTTGTCATCACTAGCATTGACCTCGTCACCAGTCTGTCATTGGTGAATTTACCACCTGTCCTTCCCTAATGGGTTTTCTACACCCCGCAGTGGAGCTGACAGCACTGTGGACTTGGTCATTCACTTTTGTGCCTGAACCCACGGCATGATAGGAGGTGAGACAGCAGCCACAATTTGTACAATAATTCTTCATTCCAGCCCTCACCTGGCACCCCCTAGCAGGTCTACTCTTGGGTGTCAGCTTCCCTTCCCATGGTGATTACTTAGCTGTAGCTCATGCTTCAGGCGAGCAGCAGGAGCCATGGGGAAAGTGACCTCACTGCACCTCTGCGGATGTGCTCCCCTGTTTTATCTTCCACCTCTCATTATAAGCTAGTGAAACTGGCGTGTTGGAGCCTCTCTCTTGCTTTCTTAAGGGCTTCAGTGTGGCTTTGGGTATGGTTTCCTTTGGTTGCTTGATTTGAAAGTTTCTTGGTCACTGTTGAAAGTGTCAGCATAAACTTGCTGAAGAATCTTCCATTCTGTAGTAATCAGAAAAAACTGTACCGGTCCCCACATCCTGTCTGGTTTTAGCTTCATTTTTCTGTTCCTCAGACACTTTATGTTTGCTTAGTGTGTGTTAGGTGCACATGTACGTGTACATGTGAAATATATGTGGATGCAGAAAATAAAGCAGATGAGTTAAAGATACATTTCTGTGCAAATCTGTAACTCCTCTGAAGTTTGTTTTTTGTAATTTTGAGACAGAGTCTTTCTGTGTAGTCCAGGCTGGCCTCAAACTCATGACAATGCTTCTGCCTCAGCCTCCCGTGTGCTGGGATTACAGGCATGTGCCACCACGCTTGCCTCCCAGCTCTTTCTAGAATTTTTTTTTAAATTTTATTTATTTATTTATTTATTTTGGGGTTTTTTTTCCAGTACCAGGAACTGAACTCACGACCTTGCACTTGCCAGGCAGGCGCTGTGCCGCTGAGCTAAATCCCCAACCCCTCTTTTTAGAATTTTAATCTCTCCTGTTAATCTATCCTCACAGGATGTAGTCTGCTGGATACCTGGTAGATGGCCACCCCACCCCCATCCCTGCATTCCTTGGCCATTTTGTATTTTCTCTTATGTAACAATTTTGGAGCAAGTTTATCTGTTTTCACTTAAAAAGTCCAGCTGGGATTTTCCTTGGCAGTCAGTTTGATTTAGGAAGAAATGGTGTCTTGACAGTTTTGGATCTTCCTATCCAGGACTGAGGTGGCTGTGTGAACATGTGTGGGGGCGGTGTTCGTATGAACTTTCACATTTTTAATTTGATGTAGTCTCAGGAATTCTGTAAGGTTTTTTGTTCCTTGTTAGCGATTCCTCATTATTTGTTATGAATGCAGTCTCTTGAAGTGACCCTTCTAACCATTACTGGCGCGGAACGCTTGTGTTGCTCATATCGTCAGTGTGCTTGAACTCTGAGAAGTTCTATGTTCTTCATTTGATTTTTTTGGGTTCCTATGTAGTCAAGTCATTTCCTACTATTGGCGTTCTTTATCTTATCCTTTAGCTCATCCTTTATTGTCATTTCTTTTTCGTAGGAATCACAGAGCCTAGGACTTCCAGTCTCATGTTGAATGACAGACAGTCTCAGTTGCCCCTGTTAACTGGGATTGGCTCCATCATGAAATAGGATATTTTTGGTGGTGGAACTGGAGATTAAATTCAGGGCCTTCATACTGAGCTACATCCCCAACCTTTTTTAGTTTTCATCTTGAGCCAGGATCTTGCTAAGTTAGTAAGTTGCCCAGGCTAGGTTCAAACTTACGATCTTCCTGCCTCAGCTTCCCAGAGTAATGGAGTTACAAGCAGTGCCATCATGCCCAGCTTGAAATAGTATTCTTGCTTTAGGTTTCTGGTAGGTAACGTCCACTGGGCTAGACTTTCTGTTCTTAGCTTACTAAGGGTTTTTTCCCCTTCTTTATTAAACAGTGATAAATTTTGACGTCAATTGAGATAATCAAGTGATTTTGTTTTATTACTGAATCCGATTCCATTAATAGATTTTCTGATTTTGAACCAACCTTGCATTCTGATACACACCCTGCCTAATTTTGCAGTATATGATTTATTTATGTAGGATACTTATGTAAAATTGACATAAATGTTGTTTTTTTTTTCAGACAGAGTCTCACTGTGCAGTTCAGGCTGGCCTTGAGCTCACTTTGTTGCCCAGGCTGGTCTCCAACTCACAATGATCCTCCTGCCTCAGCCTCTCAGTGCTGGGATTATAGGCATGAGCCACCATGCCCAGCTCCTTGTTCTATTTTGATTAGCCTTGTAGAATGAGTTCGGTGATTTTTTTTTTTCCTTGTCTTTTTGAGACAGGGTCACGATCCTCCTGCCTCAGCCTCCTGAGTGCTGGGATTACAGGCATGAGCCACCATGCCCGGCATGTGAGTTTGGTGATGTTTAATCTTCAGGTTTAAATAGTTTATAGAACAGTTTATTTCTTAAGTTTACCGTATAAAAACATCTGCAGCTAAGAATGGTGGCACTGGCCTGTAATTTAAGGACTTTGGGAGGCTAGGGCAGGAGAAACCCAAGTTTAAGCCCATCCTGGATCATTAGCAATTTAGTCACTGTCTAAATTTTTTTTTAAAATAAAGAGACCAGGAGCGGGGTGTGGTGAGACAGACATGTAATCCCAGCACTTGGAAGGCTGAGGCAGGAGGATCACCATGAGTTCTAGGCCACCCTGGGCTGCATAGTGAGCTTAAGGTCAGCCTGAACTATATAGTGAGACCCTGTCTCAAAAAATAAAAGGGCAGGGTACTTCACTCAGGGCAAAGGCCCTAAGTTCAAGCCCTAGTACTCTCGGGCATGGTGGCGCACACCTGTAATCCCAGCCCTCGGGAGGCTGAGATGAGGATCACTGAGTTGGAGACCAGTGTGGGCTACAGAGTGAGCTCAAGGCCAGCCTGAACTGCATAGTGAGACCCTGTCTCAAAAAGACGAAAAACAAAACAAGGCCTAGTACTGAAGTAGTCTGTTTGGGCCTTTTTTAGAAAGATAAATATTTGTCTCCTGTGGCATACTGTTTACTGAAGTTTTCTACTTTGTTTTGGCCTTTTTTTTTTTTTTTTGAACAGGATGTCGTATGTAGTCTGGGCAGGGTTTGGCGGCCTAGAGGGCAGATAGGACCAACAAACATGTCTTGAATTCTATGTATTTTCTTCTCTTTGGCAAGCTTTGCAAGAGCTGTCTCTTTGCTGTTGGGTTTTCCATTCTTTTTGTTTGCATTTATCTGCTGGTTTTTTAGCATTTTGAGTTATATATGTAGTTAATTTCAATTTGTTAACATAAAAACATCCCACAAGTCCTGCTTTAGCTGTTCTCCGCTTTATGGTGTGTGCTTTTGTCATTGTATCTTTGACCCTGTACTGGGGACTGATCAGACCCTCAGTTGCCTGCTTGGGGGCATAGTGAGGGACCAGGAGGTCAGGGCCTCAGGTTGGGCAAAGACAAAGACCTCTTCGTTTAGCCTATTTTTATTTAACTGGCTTTAGGCAGGGGTGGGGTGGGATATGTGTGATGATTTCTGGAAACAGCAGCAGTGGTCAGAGCAGATGAGTAAAAAGGGAACAAAGCATACCCAAAGAATAAGGAACAGATTAGTAGAGAAATTGCTTTTTCTCCCAAGCAGTACTTTCGCATCTGTACAGTCAACAGGTGTTATCTTGCCCCGTGAGCATCATGGTTCTGTGGGTCTTCCCACCGTGACTGTGCCCGTGACTGGGGCCAGCGGAGCTTCTACATACCTTCCAGCCCATAGGGCAAAGCATGCATCGGTCTCGGACACCCAAGCCCGAGTTACTGGGTCCCAAGGCAGGGTCCTCCCAAGCTCGGACCCAATATTACAAATTCTGGTCCCGGATAACGCTGATCTAACATTTTTCTCCAGCTCACTCAATAATTCTGTCATCTACCTAATAACCTCTCCCCACCCCTGGAGACCCCCACCCTCCTCCCAGGGCTGGAATTGAGCCCCAGGCCTTGTACATGTGAGACAAGCACTTCACCACTGAGCTATAAACGCAGCCCCTCCTCCTCCCCCAAAAAACTTTTCATCTCTGCTTCTCTGTATCCTGTCAGCTGGGCACTGTAGCTAACAATCCTGGCAGAGTAGGTGCCTTGTATGCTGCCTGCTGCCTCCTTTGTCATTCTCCAACCCTAGATTCCACCTCTGTTCCAGCTTCATGGTGGGATCCAACCATGGGTGATAGATCTCCCAGAATGAGCCAGGTGTCCTCACAGCCCTTTATCCCTGATGCCATGGCCAGGCCATGTGGTTGCTGCCTAATAGTACTGGTCCCTCCTCCTTTGGGTCTTTGGGGACCTCCAGTCTCTGCATCTGAGTCACTTTCGGACCAACCTTTACATTCCTCCCTCATTACCCAGCCCCAGGCACACATGCACCAAGAAGGAAGAATGGCTGTGGAAGCTGGCCATGTGGTTTCTTCTTTAATCTGTGAAGGTGGTAAAATACTTTTGACATTTTCTCACATCACAGCACTCTTGCAAGGTAGCCACTATGGCACACACTTGTAAACAGACACTCAGGAAGCCGAGGCAGGAGGATCGGAATCACTTAAGCCCGGAAATGTGGGAGCAGCCTGGGCAACAGCAAGATACCCATCTCAAAAAATAGAAAAAAGAAACACACAAAATACATTCCTGGAATAAGAAGAGTCATGATATATTTTTTTGTTACATTGCTGGATTTGGTTTTCTGATATTTGGGGGGATTTTGGTGCCCAAGTTCACAAGAAAGATGGCTTACGCTTTTCCTTTTTTTGTACTCCCCTTGTGTTTGTATCGAGGTTACACCAACCTCATAAAACCAGTTGAGATTGCTCTCTTTATTATCATTACAAGAGTATAAGATTGAAATTTTTCAATTTCTAAAATTTTTCATTTCTAAATTTCTAAATTTTTTGGAAATTTTTCATTTCTAAAATTTTTCATTTCTAAAATTTTTGGAAAATTTTGCTGTAAAACCAACTGCCTGGCATTTTTTAGGGAGTAGGTAGGTTTTAAATTCAATGTTTTATGGTGATAAATTAAAACTTGGTTTCCTGTTTACAGTCATACTTTCAAGGAAAACTAGTTTCATATTTTTTCATTTTAACTGTGACTTCAAATATCTGGCACCAAGTTATTTTTAGAATTGCCTTATATTTGTAGTCTTGATTGCATCAGAAATTCTTTTTCTTTTTTCTCTTTTTTCTTTTTTTAGAAACAGCGTCTCATTATGTAGTTTGGATTGGCCTTGAGTACACTATGTAGCCCAGGTCAGCCTCAAACTCAAGATGATCCTCCTGCCTCAGCCTCCCAAGTGCTGTAATTATAGGCATGTACCACCATGCCTGGCTAGAAATTGTGTCCCTTTTATATCAAATATTTGTCCTTCTGTTGTATCCTGACAATCTGTTACTATTCAAACCACAGCCTTTTGTTATTCCCTTTGCTTTGTAAGTTTTTTTCTATTTCATTAATTTCTGCTTTTGTCGTAAACTCCCTTGGTTTAGTCTATGGTTCTTTTTCTTACCCTTTGTTCATATGCTTAGCTCTTATTTACAGCAATTCTTCCTCCAACCTAGAGAAGTTTTAAACCTAAAGAAAAAGTGAAGCCAGGCATGGTGGTGCATACCTGTAAT